TAAATAGTTAAATGAAAATGATCTTCCTATAATACAAAATAGGTGTTATGAACGAGGAATGCATCAGGCGCCTGTCAGTTGTTAGAAGTGCAATAATTATTTGTTTCTGAAAGGGTACTATGAAAGCAAATATGTCATACGCCACCTTTGGAGAACACTTGTTTTTGGAGAACACTTTATAAAGGGATGATGCTTGAGCTAAATTTTGAAAGACAAGTAAGAGTTAAAGAAATGAAAAGTGGTGGGATTAGGGGGAAGCCTTCCAGGCAGAGACAATGGTATTAAGTAAAAAGCACATATAGCTAACGATGTGTTTGAGTAGGGGCTTGAACTACTTTTATTTATTTATTTTTTAAAAAGTTTATTTATTTATTTTGAGAGAGAGAGAGAGAGAGAGAGCACAAGAGCATGGGAGGGGCAGAGAGGGAGGGAGAGAGAGAATCCCAAGCAGGCACTGTGCTGTCAGTGCAGAGCCCGACATGAGGCCCGTTCCCATGAACAGTGAGATCATGACCTGAACCAAAATCAAGAGTCAGACACCTAACGGACTGAGCCACCCAGACACTCCAGGGGTTGAACTACCTTTTTCTTTCTTTCTTTTTTTTAAAATATACTTTATTGTCAAATTGGCTTCCATACAACACCCAGTGCTCATCCCAACAAGTGCCTTCCTCAGTGTCCATCACCCACTTTCCCCTCTTCCCCACCCCCCATTAACCCTAGGTTGGTTTTCTGTATTTAAGAGTGTCTTATGGTTTGCCTCCCTCCCTCCCTGTTTGTAACTTTTTTTTTCCCTCCCCCTTCTCCATGGTCTTCTGTTAAGTTTCTCAAGATCCACATAGGAGTGAAAACATATGGTATCTTTCTTTCTCTGACTTATTGCACTTAGCATAATACCCTCCAGTTCCATCCACGTTGCTGCTAATGGCCAGATTTCATTCTTTCTCATTGCCAAGTAGTATTCCATTGTATATATAAACCATATCTTTATCCTCATCAGTTGATGGACATTTAGGCTCTTTCCATAATTTGGCTATTGTTGAAAGTGCTGCTATAAACATTGGGGTACATGTGCCCCTATGCATCAGCACTCCTGTATCCCATGAGTAAATTCCTAGCAGTGCTATTGCTGGGTCATAGGGTAGTTCTATTTTTAATTTTTTGAGGAACCAGAGAAGCTGCATCAGTTTGCATTCCCACCAACAGTGCAAGAGGGTTCCCATTTCTCCACATCCTTGCCAGCATCTATAGTCTCCTATTTATTCATTTTAGCCACTCTCACCGGCATGAGGTAGTATCTCAGTGTGGCTTTGATTTGTATTTCTCCAGGAGTTGAACTACTTAAAAAAAAAATTCTGTCTGGTTCTGTATTTGTTTCCTCATTTCCTTTTTCTGTAGGGCCCAGTCTTTGGTGTTAAAAACCAAGTTAAATTAAATTTGTCTTATGCACTATTGCTCAATATTCATTATGCCTCCTGCCAGATTTCCTGGAAGCTCTACCCATAGTTGTTTTAGGCAGTGGTCAGTGTTCATGCCTATGGGTCCAGTTTTCTTGTTCCTGAGGAATTTGTGTTGTTTTCCGTAGATACTAGGTAGATAGTAGTGACATTCCTCATTTAGTTCTCTTCAGTATGGCTTGTGTCTTCTGTCTGATCTAAGACTCCAGGCCTCCAAGTAAACAACCTAACTTTACATTTCAAGGAATTAGAAAAAGAAAAACAAACTAAGCGAAGTTATCAGAAGGAACAAAATAAATATTAAAGATTAGAGCAGAGATAAATGAAATGAGACTAAAAAGACAACAGGAGAAAATCATTGAAAGTGATAATTGGCTTTTTGAAAAGGTAAACATAACTTTAGCTAGACTAACCAAGGAAAAAAAAGAGAGAAGACTCAAAATTATAAGTGAAAGAGGAGGCATTACAACTTGATACCATGGAAATACAAAAGATTTTAAGAGGCTACTATGAACAATTGTATGCCAACAAGTTGGATAATCTAGAAGAAATGGACAAAATCCTTGAAAAGTACAACTTACCAAGACTGAATCATTAAGAAATAGAAAATCTGAACAGACCAGTAATGATTAAGGAGATTGAATCAGTAATCAGAAATCTCCCAATAAAAAAAGGCCTATGACCAGATGGCTTCACTGGTGAATTCTACCAAATATTCAAAGAAGAATTAATGCCAGTCCTTCTCAATTCTTCCAAAACATTGATGAGAAGGGATCACTCACAAACTCATTTTAACAAGGCCAGCAATTACCTTGATATCAAAGCCAGATAAGGGCACTACAAAATAAGAAAACTGCAGGCCAGTATTCCTCGTGAATATTGATGTAAAAATTCTCAACAAAATACTAGCAAACTGAATTCAACGGTACATTAAAAAGCGGGGCGCCTGGGTGGCACAGTCGGTTAAGCGTCCGACTTCAGCCAGGTCACGATCTCGCGGTCCGTGAGTTCCAGCCCCGCGTCAGGCTCTGGGCTGATGGCTCAGAGCCTGGAGCCTGTTTCCGATTCTGTATCTCCCTCTCTCTCTGCCCCTCCCCCGTTCATGCTCTGTCTCTCTCTGTCCCAAAAATAAATAAACGTTGAAAAAAAAAATTTAAAAAGATCATACACATTAATAGACTGAAGGATAAAAATCATATGATCCTCTTAATAGATGCAGAAAGTGACAAAATCCAACATCCTTTTATGATGAAAACTCCCAACAAATTGGATATAGAAGGAACATATCTCATCATAATAAAGGCCGTATATGACACATCTACAGCTGCTATCACATTCCATGATAAAAGGTTGAAAGCTTTTCTTCTGAGGTCAGAAACAAGACAAGGGTACTTACTCTCACCATTCCTGTTGAACAAAAACTGGAAGTCCTAGACAGAGCAGTTAGTCAAAGTGGTGGGCATCCATATAAGAAAGGAAGAAGTAAAATAGTCTCTGCAGATAACAAGATCCTTTTTATAGAAAAACCTAAAGATGCCCCCCAAAAACTTTAGAACTGATAAACAAATTTGGTAAAGTCGCAGGATACAAAATCAACTTATTAAAATCAGTTGCATTTCTATATGGTAACAGTGAACTATCTGAAAAAGAAAGAAAACAGTTCCATTTCCAATAGTGTCAAAAACAGTAAAATATTTAAAAATTTATCCAAGGAAGTGAAGGATCTGTATGCTGAAAACTATTATATGTTATTGAAAGAGATTGAAGAAGACAAAAATAAATGGATAGATACCTGTTTTATGTATTGGAGGAATTAATATTGTTGGTGTCCATAATACCCAAAGCCATCTATACATTCAATGCAACCTGTATCAAAATTCCAGTGCTATTTTTTGCAGAAATAGAAAAAAATTCTACAGTTTGTAAGGAGCCAAAAACAACCCTGAATAGCCAAAGCAGTCTTGTAAAAGAAGAACAAAGCTGGAGATACACAGTTTCTGATTTCAAACGATATCACAAACACAGACCATGAACAGAATTGAGAGCCCAGAAATAAACCCACATATATGTCAACTAATATTTGACAAAGAAGCTAAGAATACTTAGTGGAGAAGTAGCCTCCTCAGTAAATGGTGTTAAGAAAACCGGACAGCCACATGAAAAATAATATAATTGGACCTGAATCTTAATCCTCCTCACGGAAGTTAACTTGAAGTGGATTGAAAGACTTGAAAGTAAGACCTAAAACCATACCACTTCTAGGAGAAAACAGGAAAATCCCATTTTACACATAAAGAC